ACTGCTCATCCTTCTCCCGAGGAACACTGGTGGATTCGAACCACGTGCCTTCGAGACTGCAGCGCAGCTTCTTACCATTAGGTCACCAGAGCTCCCTTATCTCTGTGTACTTTTGAGTTGGAACCGACCCATAGCTGACCCTCCAGCGGGTTTTCAGAGGCGGTTAATCGCGTGGGAGGAGACTGTCCATCCTTCTCCCAAGGAACAGCTGGTGGATTTGAATGACTATGACTTTAGACAGTCAATGCTTGCTTCGTTTTACCCGTTATTATTATTATTACCTATCTCACCACTCCTTGTTATCGCTCAGATCCTTCTTCTATGATTATTTTGCCTCTTCTTAAAGCAAAAACTTTAGTTGTTGCTTTAGAAAGGTAAGCTGTGTGTGGCACTCTGTTTTCCCAACATTTTTGCTTAATACCCACCTTGATTGGCATGGAAGTTGAGCACTGAATCCTAGGCTGTCAAATATTTTCTCTCATCACTTTGAGCTTATTCTTTTACTGCCTTTTGGATTTGATGGAAGCTATTGTGGAGTCTCTCATCCAGCTAACTGTTGTTTCTTAGTAGGCAACCTTTTCCTTTTTGTTGCTTATACTGTCTTTGCTTTTCGTGCGAAACACATGTAGATACATTTATTCTCTTTATCCTGTTGGGAATGGGGCTCAGAACTCGCTGACTGCTTTGTGAGAAAGACATGGACAATGTCCTCCTGTGCGACTTACAGCCTCTGGACACCCGCTGGAGGGTCAGTCCTGACTTGATTCCAACTCAAAACCACATAACAATAATAACTCAACAAGGAGGTCCTGGTGAGCTCTGGTGGCCTACTGGCAAGAAGCTGCACCAGAGGCGTGTGGTTTGAACCCCCCAGATGCTCTGCTGGAGAAGGAGGTTTGAATCCCCCAGATGCTCTGCTGGAGAAGGAGGGACAATCTCCTCCTGTACCAGTCAGATCTGATTTGATGGTACACACACACAAATAAATAAAAAAAATTTAAAAAAACAAAACAAAAACCAAGGAGGTCCTGTAATTCCTGAATCCAAGGGTCCATTTCTCCACGCCCTCTCAGTCATTCTCTCTTTGAATGGTCTCCTGCCCCTTTTCTCCTCTGTATTTTCTCCTTCTGTATTGCATATCAGCTGTGTGACTTTTCTTATTCCAATTCCATGTCTTTATCTCACACATCCCATCGAATATAACCTTTATTTCCCATATCCTGTCTCTTCCTCTGTATGTTCTACATTCTGGGGAACTCCCTCAGATCTAATTTATAGTCATTTAATCTTCTCCCATCTGCATTAATACACTATTTGATTTGTACATGGAAATTTTCATTTCTGTGACTATTTTTCATTTTTAGAGATTTGACTTGGTTCTCTTCCCCCCGCCCCAAAGCTGTCTTAAGTCTTTTTTTGTTTTTAATTCTCTCTTACATCTTTAGGCATTATAAATATTCATATTTTAACATCTCTATCAAACAGCTCTGCTATGTGACATTCGTTAGGAGATAAGCCTGACTGGGTGTGTGGGTGTGTGTTTTTGTGTGTGTAATTTTGCTTTTGGTGCAACAGTTCCTTGCATGCTTTGTCCAGCTTGGCTTGAGTAGAGCTATGTCCTTCCAGAAAGTTTTGCATTTGCCTCTTGGAGGGATCCAAGACATCTTAGTATGGGTTATAAGACCAAGTACAAGTATGAGCTCCAAATATGTGCAAGGACAAATCTATACCTACATATTTTCTCTCAACTCATTGAAGTTAATAGTCTACTGTCTTGTGGATTCTATTAAGGCTACTGTGGAATCCACGAACCTTTACAGGTTACTTTCTTCCTCTTTGCAATATTAGCTGAGACAGAAAAGCTCATTTCTGTATCATTTCCCAGTATCAATGTGTTTAATGTTTAGCCATATACGTATGGCCACTTGGTTATGATTCTTGCTTCTGATGTTTGCAAGACTAAAGATGCCACCTCTCTAGACAGTTCTTATAAAACTTCAGGTTTTGTAATAATAAAAAAAAATAAAAATACTAATAATATCACAAAAGTCTCCAGGTCAACAAAACAGCAACCAACTTTCCCTGCCCTCTGTTAAGCCCTCACCAACACACAGCATCTACAGAGTCATTGGACATGTTTACTGCTATGGTTCCAAGGGAGCTCTGGTGGCCTAGTGGCAAGAAACTGTGCTGCAATCTCGAAGGTGCATGGTTCATGACCACCAGCTGCTTTGCGGGAGAAGGATGCGAAATCTCTCACGTGATTAACTGTCTCTGAACACCCATCAGAGGGTTGGCTATGGGTCCAACCCTGTGGTACACATCAAACGACAGTTTAAAGCTTCCTTTTTGTTTCTGGCACCAGGGAGTCTAATCTTCTCAAGAGGTTAGCTATGCATTTCCTTCCCACCCCCACTAGTTTATTTACAAAATTCAAAACCAAATTTGAACAAAAATTTGCTATATTTCATGATTGCTACAGGCATCATTTGCATTATTTCAAGGCGAAAACTTTCCAGGTTTTCATAGCCACAGGATTGCTCGAACAGAAGACTTGGTCATCTTTTACCTCTGTTTATATGTTGGGCTAAAATTTGGTCAAATCTCTCAGTTAGATCCTTTATGGGAAATTGTATTTAGTGAAATGCTTATAAGCAGCCCTGGTGGTATATAATGTGCAATGTATCGGGCTGCTGACCAAAAAGGTTGGTAGTTTGAATCCACCCACTGCTTCATCACAGAAAGATGGACAGCTTTCTCCTACAAAGATTCAGAGCCTCATCGACTCAACTGAGGGTCTCTAAATCAGAAGCAATCCTATGGCAGGGGATTCTTGGGTTTGGAAATGCTTGTTCCAGGCCTTAGAGGCAAGGATGGTGAAGCTTCATCTCACATCCTCTGGGTATGTTGCCAAGTGGTGCCAATTCTTGGAAAAAGACATCATTCTGGGGATGGTGGATGTTCAGAGAGAAGGAGGAAGACCCTCAACACGATGGCTTGACAGTGACTGTACCAGGGAAGGGTGAAGGCGGAGTGCTCCTTGGAGGCAAGGATTCTGAAGCTTCGTCTGACATACTTTGGGCATGTTGCAAGGAGGAACTGGTCCTTGGAGAGGGACGTCATGTTTGGGAGAGTGGAGGGATGGCGCAGGAGAGGAAGACCCTCGATGAGATGGATCGGTTCTGTGATTGCGGTGGTGGGAGTGAGTGTGTCAGAGACAGTGAGGTTGGCACAGGATAGAGCAGGGTTTAGGGCTCTTGTACATAGGGTCGCTATGAGTCGCAAGCGACTCGATGGCACATGACAACAACAATACCAGGCTTGCATACCAGAGATGGTGGGGCTGCCACAGGACAGGCCAAGGTTCTGATCTGCTGTTCACAGCTGCTGTGAGTGGTAGCTGACGCACTGGTACATGACAGCAATAACACCTACCACCAACGGGATTCACTCATGCTTATCTTAATGATTTCTTCCCCCCCCATTTATATCTTGAACCACTTACGATTTATTAAGTACAAGACAATAAAAACCTGACATACCAGCAATAAAGCTATCCAAACAGAACAAAGTATAGCTATAACACAGCGACGCGACCTAATACCAATAACCAAGCCACAGAGGCACCATGTCTGCTATTCAATCAAGACTCAATAACCCCGTGAAGCCACCAGGGTGACTCATTGCACTTGACTTGCTGCTCACACTCTGACTGACGCCCTACCTGACCACCAGGTAAAAACCAACGATTCACACCAGGCCCCACCGTGCCTGAGACTCCTCCAGAGTCAAATACACACTCCTGTGTCCAGGCAGCAGAAGCAGGGAGTGCAAAAAAGTCAAGTCCAAGCGTGAATAGGTGTGAAAAGACTCTGTAGAGCGCTATCCAGAGTCCTGGATGTAGAAAGTAACACGAGGAAGAAATGTTCACACTCCCCTGTGTGGCAGACGTGTTGCCTTTTGTGGTATTTGAGCACCTGGGCCCAGGACAGAGGTGGGTCTGCACTCAGTGTGAACTCCACTCAGTTAGCTGGGGGGGCCTCCCCTCTGCACAACTCAGCCAACAAGTAGGAGCTCCCTTCTGCGGCCAGGGGGCCTGTCCCTGTCCCAAGATCCTCTGAGGAGGGCTGGCTCTGTGTTAACCTGAACAGAGCTGACCGGCCTCTATCCCTGGGTTTCAGGAGTCAGTGGCTATAACCACTATGTTGCTCTTCTCCTTGCTGGGCTGTGGCTTCCACACAGTATAGAGGCAGCGCTTGTTTTTATCTCAGAAAAAAAGAAAACCCCCAGATATTCTGACATCCAGGATTAGTATCTAATAACAACAGTGACTACAATAAACAGAGCACTCATTTATTGTGAGGACTTATTGTTTACCAAACTCTAAGCCAAGCACATTACAGACATTATCTTATTCAATCCTCATTAGTTCCCTATGAGGCTGAGACGGTCATACTAATTTTACATTTATTACATTTAACAAATACTCATTGTGCCAATTACTGAGACTAAGTAATCTGCTGGCGGTCACACAGTAAGAACTGAGTCAGAACGCAAAGCGAGTTCTGCGGGCTTTACTCACTCTACCCAGCTCTCCGCCCATTCGACCACCCATCACTCAAACACTATCCATCCTTTCTCCCAGCCAGTCAACCTTGGTGAGCATTTCCGGAATCTCGGTTAACAAGAGAACGATCCCCTTCTGCATCTACTCTCTTCATCCACCAACTGCCAAATCCCATTCCTTTTTACATTTCAGGCTCCCCCCAATTCACTTTGCATTTCCAACCTCTGGGCATATTTATAAATCTTCATCTCCAATCTTCCATGTCCAATTCACATCTCTTAGCCCTCTAAAAGCTAGCCCCCAAGACTCCCTCTTCCACGAGGACACCCACCCTCCCAAGTTCCTCCTTCCTTACCCATGAAGGCTGTACCTGCTGGCTGAGCCCCGCCCACCAGGGATGCCCATTCCTGGGCCAGCTGCCCATGACCCTTACCAGGTTCCCAACCTGCAGCATCTCTTCAAATTCGGTGGTCATGTTGTAGTGCTCCAGGGCCATGAAGAGTGTGTTGAGCACGATGCAGATGGTGATGGTGAGGTCGGCAAACGGGTCCATGACCATGAACTTCACACTCTGCTTGATTGACATCCACAGCGGGCAGCACTCCCAGATCATGTAGCGCTGGGCGAAGCGGTTCCAGCACGGCGGGCACTTGCGGTGGGATTCCTCCAGTTCTGGGAAAGAGACAGGGAGCTGGTCTGTTTCGCCTCACCGGTCCAACGTGGACCTGACGGTGCTCCCAGAAAAGAGTTATAACTGGCTTGGGGTGAGGACAGGGCCTATACTGGACAGGGAGAGGCCAGGGAATGGGAACAGGGAAGGCTAGGGGAAAGGGTGGCCTGAATTCTGGTTCCTTCCACTGGGAATGTGAGAGAAGAGAGGTACAGGGGTAGGGGATCAGATGGACATGGGTAAACAGGACCGCACAGGTTAGGGCAGTTACGGGCGGGACAAGTGTGAAGTTATTGAAAAGAACGAGGTAGCATTTTAGATGTAAAGATCAGATATAATTCCAGGAAGAACAGGGAGGAAACAGCTGTGTGACCAGCAGGACATCTGGGACATGTCAGGACAGAGACGGAAGACGCTGGGACAGTTTGGCAGAGGATGGAACAAGACGGGGGGAGGTTCCAAATCCACACTGGAACAGATGTGGGGCTGCCTAGGGTGGGACTGGTGAGACAGATGTGAGATTCCGGAAACAGTCTTGGAGAGATCTGGGAAAAGGCTGAGGAGAAACGAAAACAGGCACAGGTGCTTGGGAGAAGATGGGATGTGACCAATAAGAAGAGCCCGTGACAGCCATGGGGATGCTCGAAAGAGACACAGACGTAAGGAAGCCTGGGCGACAGCAAGCATAAACAGAGGAGAATCCTCCCGGGTCAGCCAGGACAGACAGCACACAGGACAGAAAAGGACAGGTGTGGGAATGGGAGGGCCAGAGAAGTCAAGATGGATGGAGGAAGCTCCCGTCTTACAGACTGAACTATGACCTTCAGACTATGATGTGAGCCCCAATCCTTACATGTGTGGCTGAAATGGGGTCTGGAAATAAGAGTTTCCTTTATTATACTGTATTTGTTAGATTAATGAGGGCTTATTGGTGTCACTGCAATACGTCTCCTGATCTCCTGACTGCCAGTATCAGTGTATTGATTGTGAATCCTCCTAAGATGAAAACATCAGGAGATATATTGCACTGGGAAAGACTGCAGTCAGAGACTTCTCCAAATTACTGAGAAGCAGGTCTTTAGAGAGGGACATCATGCTGGGTAGAGTGGAGGGACAGCGCAGGAGGGGAAGACCCTCTATGAGGTGGATTGATTCAGTGACTGGGGTAATCAGGATGGGTGTGTCAGAGGCAATGAGATTGGCACAGGATAGAGCACGGTTTAGAGCTGTTGTGCATAGGGTCGCTATGAGTCACAAATGACTTGACGGCACATAACAACAACAACAACAACAACAATACTGTTAGTTTGAGAACTAAGGTGCCTGATTCAGGCCATAGTCATTACGATCTCTTGCTATGTCGATGAGATCTCTTGACTGCTGGCATCAGCGTATTGATTGTGGGTTCTAGTAAGAAGAACACATCAGGAGATACATTGCACTGGGAAAGTCAGAGACTTCTCCAAATTACTGAGGAGCAATGCTGTTAGTTTGAGAACTAAGGTACGCCTGATTCAGGCCATAGTCTTTTCAATCACTTGCTATGCTGATGAGAGCTGGACAGTGAATAAGGATGACAGAAGAACTAATGCCTTTGAACTGTGGTGTTGGAGAAGAGTACTGAATTCTTTCATGAGCTGCCAAAAGAACAAACAGGTATGTCTTGGAGAAGGTGCAGCCAGAATGCTCCTTAGAGGCAAAGACGATGAAGTTTCATCTTACATCATTTACGTTTGTTGCTAGGAGAGGCTAGTCCTTGGAAAGGGACATCATGCTTCGGAAGGTGGAAGAAGGAAGAGAAAGACCCTCAACCTGGTGGATTGGCACGGTGACTACGGCGAGATCAAACGTGTCAGAGATTGTGAGGGCGGCACAGGACAGGACAGGGTTCAGATCTGTTGTTCAGGGTGTCTCTGTGAGTCATTCTTGGCTCAATGGCAACTAACAACCTAACAACTGGTGTCAGTAGAAGTTCTGGTGGCGCTGTAGTCAAGGCACTTCACTGCTTGCCAACTTAAAAGGTTGACAGTTTGAATCCACCAGCTGCTTGGCAGCAGAAAGATCAGACAGTCTGCGCTTGTATAAATTACAGTTTTGGGAACCTTTGGGGGCTCTTCTCTGTCTGGGAGGGTCCCAGAGAGCTGGCATGGACTTGAGGGCAGTAGGCCTGGACTGAGTAGCAGTGTAGAGCGATACTACTTTTGAGATGTAAAAAGAGCAGAGGAGACACAGACGCAAACACAACCCGGGGAAGACTTTAGGCACGTGGAGACCCCCAAGGAACCGAGAAAGGACGAGACGAGGGCCTTTCCTCAGAGCCCACAGGGAGAGTGAGGCTCGTTCTAGAGCTAATGTGCTGATCTGGGGCTTCTAACCTTCTCAACTTTGAGACAATAAACGTCTCTTCGTTAAAGCCATCTACTGTGGTGCTTCTCCTGAAGCAGGACTGAGAACCTAAGCCGTTGTGCCAAGCGGGGATAGACCAGGTGTGGGCAGCGGCGGGCGACGCCTGGGTGTACTGACCTTCCAGCGCGCTGGTGAGAACGCTGACCGCGCTGAGGGCACGCTGCCGCTCTCCCGGCTCCTCGAAGCCGTCCACACAGGGCACCGGGGGGGTCAGCACCTGGGGCCCGCCAGGCTCCTCCGACGGTGTGGTCTGTGTGCAACCAGATTACAGTCAGTGTGAGGACGGCAGTTCTCACTTAAGGCCTAGTCCTGCAGAACCTGGGGTGGACAGTTTGAACTCCTGGAGTGGCTGGTCTGGACTTGAGCAGGGAGGCCTCAGAAGGCAGGAAGGGGATCTTGATAGAACACTGAACTTGGGCTGCTCTTCTCCCAACCCCTTCCCTGTTACCCCTGCGGCACACCGCGCCTCATTACCACCCTTCTCACTTCTCTCCTCCCCTGCCTCTCCCAGTAGTGATTGCTGAGCATGGACAGGAAACTACAGGTTCCCAGCTCTTTTCATCGTCCAGGCTCTCCAGTGCCAGATGTCGTCACATACGTTAGTAATTGCGAAAACGATCTGGGAGTCTTAATTGACCACAAGTTCCCTAGAGCCAAGTGCTTAAAGAAGCCTGATTCTTTTTTTCAATGTTCCAAGAGGACATGAATAGAAATATGAAACAACACTGCTCAGACATGGCTGGTGGGAGCGTTTGTGGGGGAAGTCTGGCTGCGTCTACCAAGAAAATGTTCAAGTTGGCTTTGCAATTCCTCATCTAGTGATCTAAGTTTGTAAATAATTCTATGTGTGTGCAAAACCTACATGGACAGTGATACTAACTGCAGCAGGATTCTAAGTCCATAAAATGGAAAACCACTAGCTCATCTATCTTCGAGTTAGAACCAATCCATAATTGACCCTCCAGAGGGTTTTCAGAAGCAGGAAATTGCCTAAGAGGAGACTGCCCATCTTTCTTCTGCAAAGCAGCTGGTGAATCCGAACCAGGTGCCTTCGGGTTGGCAGCACAACTCCTTACCACTAAGCCACCAGAGGGGCTTAATCAACATGAGCTGGTGACTCAGCTATGAGTTGGCTCTGACTTGATGGTACACAGCAACAGCTGTTTCTGGAAAGATTATAGCCAAGAACACCTTACAGGGCATTTCTACTCTGTCACACAGGGCCACTATGAATTGGAGTCAACCTGACAATAAAAACATGCACCAACGATTTCTAGGTGGTGTGAACACTTGGTGAACTCAGCCGCTAACAAGAAGGTGGGGAGCTCTGTAAACTGGTCCTGGAGCCATTTCTTTGTCCACCATGATCATAAACAAGCCTTGTCCCCCACTGAAAGCAAACAGAGAAAGTGAACCAATCTCGTTGCCACCCAAAGCTCAGCTCATAGGTCAAAGTCACAGCTGTCCACATTGACTCACAGCAGACCCTCCATTGGCTTTTGAGGCTATAAATCAAATGGTAGATTTCTCAACTGTCTCCCATGAAGTCACTGGTGGAGTTGGAACTGACTGAGTGGCTGGGTCTTGGATTAACAACACAGCTTCCTACAGATTAGGCCACTAGAGCTCAAACTCATATGTAAGCCCTTCTTAATATTTCAGAGTCACTTCTTAGGGAGCTCTGGTGGCCTAGTGGCAAGAAACTGTGCTGCAATCCTGAAGGCACGCGGTTCAAATCCACCAGATACCTCGCTGGAGAAGGAGGGGCAATCTCCTCCTGTACCAGTCGGATATGATTCAATGCTACACACACTCACAAAATAAAAAATAAAGGAATAAAAGAATTTAAAAAAAAATTTAAAAAGTCACTTGTAATGTGGCATCGAGTTGCCTGCAACTCACAGTAGTAACCCTATGTTCAACAGCTCTGAAGCTTGCCTTGTCCTGAGCCTATCTCACTGACACACCTAACCCATCGCCCCAGATACTGTATCAATCCATCTCATCCGGGGTCTTCCTCTCCGGCGCTGTCCCTCCACCCTTCTGAGCATGACAGACTGATCCCTCCTGGCCCTGTGCCCAAAGTACGTGAGACGGAGCCTCAAAATCCTAGCCAAAAGGAGTCACTTACATACTTAATAAGTATGTGACTTACTGAATGCTTCTTAATTATTATTAGTTATTTACAACAAGAGCTTATTAAGCTTCCATATCAAGCGTTGCTTAATAAACTCTTTTGTTGGATAATAATAATAAAAATAATAATGGTGGCGTTGTGAGCTGTCGAGTCAGAACTGACTCATGACTGACCCTCCAGCAGGTTTTCAGAGGCTGTGAATCACATGGGAGGAGATTACCCGTCATTCACCCTCGGGGCAGCCTCATCATCATCATCATCATCATCATCGAAAATGAAAGGCCGCAGGTCTTTGTTCAAGGCAAAGATGCCTTGGAAGAAAGCATGGCAACGGAGTTTCCAAAAAATCAGCGGCTGAAAAGCCTATTGGTCACAGCTCTCCTCTGACACACACGGAGTCACCAGGTGTCAGCGCTGACCTGACAGGACCTGGTGGCAGTGGCTTTGTGCACAGACACTACAGCGAGGCAGAGATGGCTTGGTGGGGACTGGCTGGAGGCAGGGGCTGGAGGCAGGGGCAGGAGGCAGGGGCTGGAGGCAGGGGCAGGAGGCAGGGGCTGGAGGCAGGGGCAGGAGGCAGGGGCTGGAGGCAGGGGCTGGAGGCAGGGGCAGGAGGCAGGGGCAGGAGGCAGGGGCAGGCACTCCCTAGGCTGAGCGCCTGCTAATCTCTTTAACTGTTCAAATGTCTCCATTCTTTAACTTTGCAAATGACCCCTTCTTGGCCTTGGCCGGCTAATCCCTTTAAGGTTACAAATGGGCCCCACAGAAGTGAGAATGGGTGAAGTCAGAGTTCCGGGTAATGAAGTGTTTGAACTCGGGGCCCCTCCCGTCATGGTGGCACAATGAGATGATTTGCTCCCTAACGAGATTAGGAAATTCTATTAGTGCTCCAGATGCTGCCCTGAGTCCGCAGGCCAAGGCTGGGGTGGACCTGTGGGGCGCCTCAGCCAAGGGGCGTGGTGTCCTCTGACGCCAGATAGCCCACAGTTGGGGGAGGACAGGGTGCTGGGGTGACCGTCTCCCCCCCTTGTGGTTCCTGGGAACCACCCTTCACTCTCTTCAGGTGAGCATGAGTGCCCCCCCACTCTGCAGCGTACCCCAGGAGTCGTTATTTCTTCCTGGAGCTCTGGTACTAAGAAACTGCACTGCAGTCTCAAAGGCACGTGGTTCAAATCCACCAGCTGCTCCGCTGGAGAAAGATGGGGAGTCTCCTCCTGTGGGATTTACAGCCTCAGAAAATCTGCTAGAGGGTCAGCTATGAGGCGGTATCTGACTTGATGGCACGTTAACAGCAAAAACTAACAGCCAGCATTTCTGGTGGCTCAGTGGTAAGGAGTTGTGCTGCCAACCCAGAGGTGAAATTTAAAACCATGTGTTCGAATCCACCAGCTGCTACTTGGGAGAAAGGTGGACAATCTCCTCCTCGGTGATGAATTGCATCTGAAAACATCAGCTCTGACTCTCCTGTAACAACCTGTAACTCTAACCAACCCCCAGCTCCCCATGGAGCAGGTTTCCAAGGCTGTAATCTGCATGGAAGGAGACTGTCCATCTGTCCCCCTGGGGCCCCGGTGGACTGGAACCGCTAAAGAAACACAGTCTTTGGGTGAGCATCACAACGCCCTATGCACTGCGCCACCAAAGCTCCCTGTGACCAATACCAGCCATTATTGATAGTACCTGTAACACAGGGAGGCCTAGTGGCAAGAAGCTGCACGGCAATCCCAGAGGTGGTGGTGGTGGTTGTTATGTGCCATCAAGTCGCTTGCGACTCATAGTAACCCTATGTACAACAGCCCTAAACTCTGCTCTGTCCTGTGCCAATCGCACTGTCTCCGACACACCCATCCCGATTATCCCAGTCACCGAATCCATCCATCTCATAGAGGGCCTTACCCTCCTGCGCTGTCCCTCCACCCAACCAAGCATGATGTCCTTCTCCAAGGAACGGTCTTTCCTTACAACATGTCCAAAGTATGTTAGATGGAGCCTCAGAATCCTTGCCTCCAAGGAATCACCCGGTTTAACCCTTTCCAGGACAAATCTGTTTGTTTTCCTAGCAGACCATGGTACTCTCAATACTCTTCTCCAGCACCACAGCTCAAAGGCATCAATTCTCCTTCTATCCTCCTTGGTCATTGTCCAACTC